GTGATAATGGACATCTTTATCTTGTTCCTGCTTTTAGAATGAAAGCTTTCAGCTTCTCTCCATTTAGCATGATGTTGGCTGTGGACTGTCACAGATGGCTATTAGATAACGACCCTCTATTCCAGTTTTTTTTGTTGTTGTTGTTGTTTTTTGGTTTTTTTCTCCGGTACCGGGAACCAAACTCACGACCTTGCGCTTACCAGGCAGGCGCTTTGCCGCTGAGCTAAATCCCCAGCCCCCTATTCCAGTTTTCTTTAGGGTTTTACTGTGAATGGATATTGGGTTTTGTTAAGTTCTTTTTCTGTGTGTGTTGAGATGATTATGTGGTTTTTATCCTTGCTTCTGTTAATGTTTTATATTACATTTATTGATTTATGTATGTTGAGCCAATCCTGCATCCCTGCAATGAATCCTACTTGGTCATGACGTACAATCATTTCAATTATTTGCTGCATTTCTGTATCAGGATGATGCTTGCTTCCAGGAATGACTTTGGGAATACTGCTTTCCTTCAAATTTCATTAGGATCTTGAGGAATATTGGCATTAGATCTTCTCTAAAGTTGTTGCAGAATTTGGTAGTGAATCTGGTGAAACCTGTGCTTTTCTTAGTTGGTAATTTAAAAAAATTACTTCAACTTCATTGCCTGAAGCTATATTATTCAGGATTTATATCTTCTCGATTCAGCTTTGATAATTTCGATGTATCTAGGATTCTATCTGTATCTTCCTGATTTCTGCAGAATCTGTTATGATTTTCCCCTTTTCTAAGTGCATGAATTTGGGTCTTTTATGTTTGATAAAGTTGGCTAAAGAGTCTTTCAAAGTACCAATTCTTTGATTCATTATACTGTTTTTAGTTTTGGTAGCATTACTTTTTGCTGTGCTCTTTATCATTTCTACCCTCACACTAGGTTTGGATTTGTTCTTGTTTTTCTAGAAACTTGAGGTTCATTGCTAAGTTATTTCAGTTCACTGTTTTTCTTATGGGTGGATTTATTGCCATAAACGTTCCTCTGCAGACTGCTTTCATTGCATCCCAGAGGTTCCACTATAGGTACTGGCATCATTTGATTTGTAGATCATGTAATTTTTGTCCTTTCTTCTGTTTACGTGATGTATTTATTTACTGACATGCACATGATATATACATCCTTGCATCGCTGGGATAATGCCTATTTGCTTTTTTTTTTTTTTTTTTTTTTTTTTTCCGCCTTTTTGAGACAGGGTCTCACTATGTATGCAGTTCAGGCTGGTCTTGAACTCACTTTGTAGCCCAGGCTGGCCTCGAACTCACAGCAATCCTCCTGTCTCAGCCTCCCCAGTGCTGGGATTTACAGATGTATACCACCATGCTCAGCTCATTTGATATTTTTGATGATTTGTTGTACCCTCTTTGCCAGTATCTTGAGGCTTTTTGCATGTTTATTAGAGATTGGCCTATAGCTCTTTTGTACCTGGATCCTTGTCTGGTTTTGGAATCAAGGGTACCCTTCCAGGAAATGACTTTGGGAGTACTCCTTCCCTTTTGATTTCATGAAAACTTGAGAATTATAGGCATTAAATCTTCCCTGAAGTTCTTGTAAAATCCATCAGGTCCTGGACTTTGTTTAGATGGCAGATTTTTTATTACTGCTTCAATTCAGTTTTGGAAATTCATTTGTATCTAGGAATCTCTTCAATTTTTCTGAGTTCTCCAGTTTACTGGCATACAAGTTTGTGAAGTACCGTAGTTGATAATATTCTAAATTTCAGGGGCTGGGGATTTAGCTCAGCGGCAAAAGCGCCTGCCTGGCAAGCGCAAGGTCGTGAGTTCGGTTCCCGGTACCGGAGAAAAACCAAAAAAAAAAAAAAAAAAAAAATTCTAAAGTTCAGCATTGTCAGCTGTAATTTCACTTTTCATTTCTGATTTTTCTTTCATGCGTTTTAAGATTGGTTAAAGGTCTGTCTGTTTTTTCTAAGAGCCAGTTCCTTGATTCATTGATTCTTTGCATTTTTAGTCTCCATTTCATTGACTTACGTTCTCTTTATAATTTCCTTCCATGTACTAGGCCTGGATGTGGATTAGTCTTTTCTAGGACTCCTGGGTGCTCACTTTTTCTGACGTGGGTATTTACAGGTCTAAACTTCCTCACAGGGCTGCTCTCATTGTGTCCCTTAAGTTCACTTATACTGGCATTACCCTTTACTTACAAGAACTGTCTTATTTCTTAACTTCTGTGATCCACTGATTATTCAAAAGCATGTCATTTAGTTTCCACACTTCTGCATTTCTTTTCCCATTGCTTTCTGTAGTTTCCCTTGCCATAGATTTCCAGTTTCATTGTACTATGATCTGCTGGTATGCATGGTAAAATTTCAACAACTATGTCACCTTGGCTATTTTAATAAAATCAGCAATAAGCATGTCAATGACAAACTAGATATTGATATACCCTAAGAACCAATAATGTACCACCCCTAGTCATAGAACAGAGGTCTATAATTAGTGTAAACACAAAGACCAACCAAAGTTTTACCTACAGAAAATATCTATGAAATGGAACAATTTTACCTCTAATAGAACAGAATTCAACACTGATATGATAGTTAAGACTCACTTTAAAGCTTAATGGTTTTACTTAATAAAGGGGCAGGGAACCAGAGAATGAGCAAAGTTTTGAAATGTTAATCATTGGAAGAGAAAAGTGATAGGAGATTCTATTGAGCAGTAAAAGGAAATTAACAGTATTACATAACAGTAACAAAAAAATTTAAAGTTAAAACCAAGAGTTTAAAGTTAAAATTTTAAAGTTAAAAAAGCAAAGAGAGCAACCAAACCCTTGAAAATAATGAAGGCAAAATCACAAGGAAAGAAAAACAAAATTCAGTCAGTTATAAAAAAACAATTGCTGTGGTTTTGAATGGGTGGTTTCTTTCCAGGATGTAGTCTTGGAATTCAGTTGCAATTTTCTCTGTGGACTTCTCTTGAGGCTCGTACTGTGGGCCAGGCCTGTTATTTCTCCCTGGAACTGCTGACTCTCCTAGAATTTCCTTCTCTTCCGGGCCATTGGCTTTATAATCAAGTGGATCAGTAGGTGAGAGCCCGGCAAGTGGAAACAGTAACAGGCATGAAGTTTGTGGCTGTCCACAGCCAGGGGGGCAAAATTCACAGGTGCAGTTGACCAGGGGGCAGCGCCAGGAGGGGTGGGCTCCTTCTCCATCTGTGCATGGCGCTGGGGATGGGCTATTCAAATGTTTAATGTAGTATTACCACTAGCTAATGGATGGAAAGTTTGGCTAATCTGTGAATATTGTCTTAACATGTCCAGTGCAGAACAGAAATAAATCAATAGTAACAAAATGATGAAAAAAAAATTCTTGAAGCATCATGAGGCTTCCCATTACAGCTTATTTCTGTTTGTGGAGCTTTTGGGAGGTGGCTGGATCTGAGGTATACGGTACCTGGCTTACTCTGATTGGTTTAGCATAGTTGGGAGTAGTAGGATTACAGGGAGAAGCCACATGCTGGGTGTGGGTAGCACCAACCAACAGGGTTTGTAGTCTGGATGGAATAGGAAGAGAAATAAAGCAGGCTGGCTGCTTTCTGCCTGCCATGCCAGGGATTGTTTCTCATCTGCCTTACTGCCCTGTCTTGGAACCAGCAGACTATGGACTGAAACTTCTACAAACTGAGCTAAAGTAACTTATCTCAGGTATTTCTGTCACAATAGCAAAGTAAAAAGGACACTCATTTTTTTATGTACAAACAGAGACCTAGTTCAGAAAAGCCATCCTTGCTTGAAACGTTCTAACACTATAAAGATACACTTCTAGATACAATTACATATATTTGATGATAGTGGAAGTGTTCACAAGTGTGAGTTCACAGAAAAACCATTATGCTCTTTCAAAGATCTGTAAAATTGTAACTAATGGTGCATATAAAGCCACCACTGCTACATTATCAAGATGAAAGGGGGAATGTCGCCCCAAAATTAGCTTGGTTACTCTATCCTTTCTACAGATAACATTTAAGGTACCTACCATGCTGTTTCTTATCTGTACTGGAATGATTACTACAGCCAAGCAAATTAACCCATCATCTTCCAGTTACCTGTGAATGTATGAGAAGGTTCACTTTACAAATTTCTAGCATGAATCTCATTCACTATAGACATGCTACATCAGTGCTCTAGACTTACTCATAAGACTACATTTGGTCCTCCTTTTAAGGTCAACTGATGCATTTTAATTTGAATTGCTCTTCATGACCTCATTACCTAGATGATCACAACATAAAAAAAGCTAACTCATGTTTTTGTCAAATCAGTATTAGAGACATTTCTGGCCTGTGATTCTAGAAGTATCTTTACCTTAATAGTTCTGAGTTACTGTTTTAAAGAAATGCTCCCTAATTAAGTCTAGCATTGTTTTCTCCAATTTCACAAAACCCACAATAGTACAATTATGTACCACATAATGTTTCAGCCAAGGACAGATGACTGTATGATGGTGGCCCCATATAATCCCAACAAACTTTACAAGGCATTATCACGTTTGTTGCGATGCTGACGTAAGACAAAGTATGCCCCCTGGAAGCTCTCTCTCCTCTTGTGCCAGGATAAACACTGTCCCCAAAGTCCTCAATCTATTGTGCTGCCAGCCAGGTAAAAGCACAATACATACCGTTCTGCACAGTAAATAATACTTAGTAATGAACATTACCGGCTTATATATTTACCTTGCTATTTTAGTGTACTCCTACTTACAAAAGTAATTTATATTGGCAGCAGCTGCATGTCTTGATTGTATGAAGAAGCCACATTGAGTGACTGATCAGTACCATCTATGTTAGCGTGAGAACTCTATGATGTCCACAAGAGCAGGAAAAATGGCTTGCTTCTCAGAATATAAACCTGTTCTCACTATATTGGAACAGAAAATGTTAGGCTTTAGCTACCAAAAAAGGTTAAGTTTTAAAAACTGAGAACAAAATAAAAAAAATACATAAAAAATGAGAACAGTAAATATTTAAGAGATTTATTAAAGCATCTTATCACAAAGATGGAAACATAATACAAATTAGAACATGCAACCACCATCTTCCACAGTCAAATCAAACTGATATATTTTTGTTTTCATAGCGGAAAATTTCAGATCTTATACCCAACTCGTTTATCCTGAATACTGAATTCATTCTTACTGAAATTATCCAAGGTAGCAAATAACCAATACACAAACCATTATATAAAGAAAGTGCAAAGTTAAAAAAGAAAGTATGTGAAGAATACCCTTTCCCTTCCCACCCCCCACTTATAGGCATACAATGGCACTTTGCTCTTGCTTAACCTAGATTGTCTTCAGAAAGTATTAAAATGTAATAGGCTTAACAAAAAGTTTAATGTCCAAAGAGTTCCTTAGTGTTTGAAAATAAATGCTTAAACAAAAGACAATGTATTTTTATATCAAACAAGTTTGAAGAGCCCTGTATTGCAGCATTCTGTAAAATAAACAAGACAAGAAGCTGGTATAAGGTTTATTGACAAAGGCAGACTGTCTTCAGGCAGGTAAGTAAGGAGGCGGTGGTTCTTTCTCAGGCATCTTCACAGCCATTTCATAGGTTGGCAAAACATACTAAATAAAGAGAGAACAAAATTATTTCAGGCAATTCTCCTTTAAAATCTTTTCCGGTATAATTCAGTTCAGACGCTATGTCCTAAACAGGTATATAAACCTACAGAGAAGAGCTGAAGAAACTGAGCTAGATAGAACTTTATACACAGATGAGGTATCTGCCTCACAATGCTGGGGAGGGATGGATGATGGCTGGAGAGTGAGCGGGCAGAACTCTTCCTTGGGGCTAACCTTGAGGCTACAAGGACTCCTCACCAGACAGTATACTTCCCTACTTTCCCCTTTTTCCAGTACTACTGATAAAGTATCAATGCCAAATAGTCCACAGGGGTTAAAGATTTTCCTGAAGGAACTCTTCAGTCAGGTGTTCTTTAGATGCTGCATTTCACCAGAATATCTGTAGTTTAGGACCCAGGTTATATCCTCTAGGGGAAAAGGAACACCTTTGTGGGAAGGTGGCATTCTAACCTAGGTGACTTTAACTTTTGACAAGCTGGCCTGAGGCCTGATGAGTCACATATAGTACATGTGCTAAAACCTAAGAAGATAATGCAGTAGCAATTAAAAAGCTGTGACAGGTGGGGCCCCAAGAGAATCACAGAACTTACTGCATTCATTCTGCTGCAGACACATCATATGGGTACTTTTTAAGAATACAAGTTTCAGTCAGGGGCACCCTGCCCCAGCTAAGGCCACACAAGCCTGGCATAGCTTTTCCAATCTTACTTCCTACGCAAACACAATGCTCAAAGGGACCACTGACGAAATGAGATGAACAGTGCAGAGCTTCTCTAGCTTGAGAACCCAGGATTCCAACGGGGAAATGCTAAATCCTATGGATTTCAAATATTTATGCCCCAAACCATAGTGAGAGCAGATTTCAGAAAGTGAAGCTATGTATTCTTTCGGAATAATCAATAATGGCGAGTGACATTTTAATGCATTAAACAGTAGTTAACCTGTGGAGGTGCTTCAAAAGCAGGGTACACGGCAATCTCTGGCACATTTCTGTTGCTGATATATTTATAGCAGTTCCAAACACAGTTGATTAGGTAAGCCTGAAAGGATAAAAGCAAAATTTACAAATGCTAGAATCAAGAGGCCACCTGGTCTACAATGCAGGTGACTTCCACTGCTTCCCCACATGTTCTGTGGCAAAAGGGACCTGAGCGGCACAGCCCACACCCTTCTCCTCCTGGCTCTCATTGAAATGTCACAAGTTTCCAAGGAAACTGCAGGTGGTGTATCAGTTCAGGTCTGCCAAACATCATGCTGCTACAGGGGAAATCCTGGGCTTCTGAACATTGGGAATTATAATCAATTCCCAAGATAAATCACAAACCACTCTCAAAAACCATATAAAGACGCTCTTTCAACTTGAGGAAGGATCCTGATACTTCCAACCACATCTTGGAAACAAGACCAAGTATACCCCCTGGAAGCCCTCTCTCCTGTTGTGCCAGAATAAACTGTCCCATCCCTAAGTCTTCAATCTCCTGTGGCCTAAGTGGAGCTAAGGCTGTGAAAAGGCTTTGAAGGACAGTGTCAGTATCTCAACCGTTAGTCCACACCTTACCTTAAAAATGATGAACACCACAAAGAACACAAGAACAATGAACAGCAGGCAACTGGAGTCCAGTGACAGGAGGTCATCTTTGTAGGGGAAATCAGGCTATGAGAAACACAAATACACACATGCACATTTACAATTCAGCCATGACACTTGCGTTCTGTGATCAACCATACAACATTGTAAGAATATAAACAAAAGATATCAAAATGACAAGTGGTGACCTAATAAAAATTTATGAGTAGGGGCTGGGGATTTAGCTCAGCGGCAAAAGCGCCTGCCTGGCAAGCGCAAGGTCGTGAGTTCGGTTCCTGGTACCGGAGAAAAACCAAAAAAAACC